AAACTCTGTTTGGGAGCGTTAAAAAAAAGCCGAAAATCTTTCTAAGAAAAAAAAAAAAACTTGTTTTTTTTTCTTTCTCACTCACTTCTTTGATCTTCTGGTGCTTGAATCAGTTTCCTCCTGCTGCTGGAAGAGGAAGTGAAGTTGTGGAGTGTTTTTAAAGTTTTTGTGTTACTTTCTTTTTGCTTCAAAGAGGTACATTCTTCACTCTCCCCCTGTGCGTTGTCTATGTTCGACCCTGCTCTTTACCGAGCCCCTGTGGTTTATGTGTGCTCGTCCCTGTTCTCTGCCGAGCCCTGTTAGCATGCTAGAGTAGGGAGATTACTATTTGCCTCATTCTTAAACATGTTCTAACTTACTCTTTATACATTTGTTATGTGGGAATGCCATTTAAAAGCTTGGGGGTATGTATTTCCTTCTCCCTCCCTTTCTCTGTACTTTACTGGCTCTCGGTGTTAACCTTGCCGAGCCCCTGATGAAGATCTTAGGGTATGGTTTAGCACTCCAGTTGCAACTATGCTTGTATTTGAAAATGTTTATCACTTAGATCATGTGAAAGATAAAAAAAAAATATGCATATATGCTAGAAGTTAGATTTGACATGCTATTAATTCTTTCTTTTACTTTGCTTATCTAAAGTGCTGAAGTCATGGCATGTTTGTATGTATCATGAGACTTTTCATCTATTCTTACCCAACATGAGATATTGGAGAGTTTATTTGGCCTTTCACGTATGTCTGGGGGCTCGATTTTGGCTTCCTGTGGCTTTCCCTTACTCGAAATGCATGATAGGAAGAAGTTTATATTGATTTGAAAAGGTTCTACAGTTATTCTTATTTGAAGCATGTGGTGGCCCTATGTTTTGATATTTTGAAGGCATGAAGGTGTTTTTCTAGCTTTTATTGTGGCCTGATTTTGAGCCTTAGTTGCGGCTTGATTTTTTGGCCCATGCTGGTTTTCGGTTTTCTCAATGATGACTGGGTTTGGATTTATTGCCATAGACTGCATTTGTAGATTATAAAATTTTGGTTTTTAGCCTCCATTGGGGCTCGGTTTTCACCTTGAAAGGGCATGGGATGTTGGTTTTGTTGAGGCTTGGCTTTTGATTTTGGTTAAAACATTGTCCTAACTATTTAAGCTTCATGTATGGGCTTTGAAG